GATGAACTACTTTTTATATTATCAATAAATTTTGTAATGGTATCTCAAACATTTTTCAAAAACTAAATTCAAATATATCTTCTAATAATTTGCTCCAGCGGGTAGAAATCATAGGGAAACGGACCTCTAGGCTCCAGGGATTGAACGGGGACCACATGGGAGGATGCTTGTGTAGGATTTGGTAACAGCCCACTGAATCTGTGCATGTGGCTGATATCAACTTCCCATATACACACTGTAACGTTTCGGGAAGTTTCGAAATAAATTTATTGTCTAAAAACCCATTTCCCACTGAGTAATGACGCTAAATTGTGTACAGAGAGTATGGAGGTTTTCCAACGAAAAGATATAGACTTATAGTTGGTTGTGTAGATCGAGGATCTACGCTTGAATTCTTGTCGGTTGCTTGAAAATAACAATAGCTGGCGGGTTACCAGCATGAAGATTTCAGATATAGAGACAAATACAATGGTGAAGTCAGAATTTTGGGCTATGAGGGACCTTTCACAAAGGTTAAAAAAAAATTTAAAAATTTAAACGGAAAGTATTACAACACTACTAACCAAAATATCATTATATATATATATATATATATGAAATGCTCGTTTGGATGTGTTTTTAAATAACTGAAAGCGCTTTTGGTGAAAATATTTTTGGAATCAATTCCTAGTAAAAATGCAAGTAAATCTTGGAAAAGTAGTTAAAGTGCTTTTGGAATCTAAAAACATTTTCTCTAAAAATGTTTTCAGCTATTTTAAAACACATCCAAACAAGCTCGAAAAGTAGCCAAAATTCAAAATAACATAGCATCGATAATATTACATATTTCCAAGAATCATAATAATTGTCCTCGACGAGTTTTCATATTTTGAAACCGTTGCATGATAGCCTCGTCCTCTATACTATTAAAAACATCTTTCCCAATATAAGCAACCAAATAATCATTCATCCACAAATCATCCATTCAATTGCGTAAGGTGTTCTTTGCAATGTTCATAGCAGAAAAGACTCGCTCTACACTTGCAGTTACAACCGGTAAGATGAGTGCTAGTGTCAAAAGTAAGTACACTAATGGGTAAGTTTGATATTTCTTTGTTTCAACCATCTTTTGTGCAAGATTGCGAATTCCTTTCAAATCTACAAACTCACTATTAGAGGTCATGTCCCAAATGTAATTCTCAAGACGTTCTTTGAGTAACTCAAGATCGTGCTTGGAAAAATCACTTGGATAAATTGGACAAGACGCATCAATTTTTCTTTGTCACAAGTGGAGAAAGAATTACTTGAATTTAAACATGCCACACAAAGAAGTAATTCGGTATTCTTCTCAGTAAATTGATCGTTTAACTCAGTGAGTTGCTTATCTATGACACTGGAGAATAAATCAACATGATAATGATGCAAGTTTGTGATGGGATGAGCTTTTTGGTTTGGCCGATCTCCACTTGAAAAAATATCATCCATGCTAAGATTTTTAATATGATTCTTGTCATAAAAGGATGAAACTTTTAATCAAATAAAGATTCCCAACCACTTTCTTTCAGCCTTTACAATCTTCCTTTGCATATATTGACCAAGTTCATTGCATTCATAATATTTTGATCCTTCTTTTGTAATGCCTGTGACAGATTGTTTGTGATTCCCAAAGCCTTTTTCATCAAGTGTAGACAAAAAATGAAGTTGAAAGATTGAATAAAAGTCAATAGAACCTTTGCTTCAAATTTTTGTTCTAAACTTGTTCCATCTCTTCTTACAATGTGAAGCACTTCTATCGCTGATGAGAACATGTGAGTCAAATTGATTAAATAGTTATAGTGAGAGCTCCTTCGTGTATAAGTAGCCCACTTAAGAGTAGTTTCTTGATTCAAACCTTGTCCACTTGAAAGCTCATAATTTTATAGTGCTTCCAAAACTACATAAGCATGTTTCTTTCTAAGAATATCACTACGCTTAGAAGATGCCGCCACAACATTCACCATAGAAGAAACTTTATTGAAGAGATCCCCAATTTCTGAATTCTTTTTTGCCATTGCTACTAAAGCTAATTGAAGTTGATGAGCAAAACAATGAACATAAAAGGCAGATGTATTCTCATTTAAAACTAGAGCTTTAAGGTCATTGAACTCACCTTGCATATTACTTGCCCATCATAGCCTTGTCCAAGCAATTTGGATATACTTAATCCATGTCTAGAAAAGAAGTTATCAATGGCTAACTTGAGTGAGGATGCTTTAGTATCTGTGAATGCTTAATACCTACAAAGCGCTCTATCACTTGGCCCTTATCCATATAGCATAGTACAATGGCCATTTGCTTATTTGAAGACTTGTCTTGTGATTCATCAGCAAGAATGTTAAATAAAGAATCACCAATATCACTAGTGATTGAACTGATGATTTCATATGAAATAGCACTTAAGATATCCTTCTAAATATGATGTCGGTTTCAAAATTTTAGGAGCATTTCTAGCGTGACAACTTTTATCAGTATTCTAAAAATCAGCCTAGGCGCTGGGTAGAGGCCAACTGCTGCGATTAACTCATAATCAGTTGCAAAATTAGAGAAAGTATTAGACGGACGTTGGGCGGGATTAGGCGGATCTAGACGAAGCTATGCAAGTCTACACAGGGTTAGATGGGGTTGGGTGGTGTCTAGTCGGTCGTATTTGAAGACGCTGGAACCAAGTAAAATTTTGAATTTGGAAAAGTTATGTTGCAAAGTCGCGAGGAAGAAGATGACTAGTGGGGACCACCATTTTTTTTCAATTTAAATGGACGAATTAGGTCTTTATGGTCCCACCATCCCTGTTTGGTTCCACGTTTCCTGATCTCACTATTTTATGTTCTTTTTTTTCTCTTTTTTATTTTTTTGGGTCAAGATTCTTTTGTTTCTTTTCTCATCTAAATCAATCACCAATTTTTTTTTTTTAACATATTTTTGTATTGTTTTATTATTCCTTTTCCATTTAAGACCATTTCTATTAAAAACCCTAACATTACATGTATATTATTTAAAAAAACTATATTATTTATATAATAATCCGCATAGGCCCAGCCTAGGCGCTAGGCCCATTCTCGCCGCCCGACTAGTGCCTAGTGTCTTTTAGAACCTTGGCTTTTATACCCTCATTATAGTGATGTAGCCACCGCAAAATTTCAAGAAAGTTTCCTTGGTTCAGTGAATTTTTAGATTCATCATGCCCATGAAATGGAAGACCTTGTTGTAAGAGAATTCTACTCACACCAACTGATGCACCTAATCAAGTTCAACAATCAATTCGATCTTGGTCAGTTTGTTTTGAAATAACTATTTCAAATATGTTGCTTTTGGTTTAGCAAGGCCTCACAGTTTCTCCAAGCATTATTATGAGAACTATTTGGTCTTCCAACATGAATTTCTAGTTTCCTCTTACACTTCCAATGCTTAAATTTGACCCCAACAAAAGTATCCCCACCGGATTGATCTCCAATGTCAGGTTTGAAGAGATAACAACATAAACAATAGGTTACATCTTGTTATATGCTATACTCCAAAATAGGTTGCGTCTTGTTATGTGTTATACTCCAACCAAGTAGGAAACTGAGTAAACAAAGCACGATTGAACCTTCTAGGTTTTGTTCCAAAATTCGTGTAAGGAAATGTATGAGTTCGTGGTTGACAAGGTTTGTTTTGCAAATAGGCTCTTTGAACTTGGTCTCGAATATTAGGATGATAACTCAAAATCGGTCTACGTAATCCAAGATCATATTCAAGAGTTTCCATGTTAACCTCCGTAGAATCCACACAAGTTTGTTTTGAACTACTTTCATTGTTCTTTGGACTCTTTGGAGATGACGACTCTAATATCTCTGGCTGTGATTTTCTTTTGAAATACTTTTCCATAACTGAAAATTGAAAAATATAGATTGACTACCTTTAAATTATAAGAAATATGAGCATATATACTAAATTTTACAAACTAAAACAAATTAGGCTATTAATTAAAAGAAATTGCAAGACATCAATTTAATAAGAAAATAATCATAATTTAGAAATAAAAGTTGTAAAAGGAATAGAGAGTAAAATGCATACTTTGGATTCTAGGCCAACTAAACTTCAATGTCTTTTTCTTTGTTGAAATAATGGAATTAAATTTTCTAATCTGCAAAACAAATGTTATTTGTTAGATTAATTTGCACTTGAAGATGATATTGATAAGCTATATAAAATTACAAATTGAAAAGTTAAATATAAAAATCTGTTCATGCTGGGGACTCCTTTTGTCGCAGTGAGAAAAAGAGTCGAAAGAAATGGCCGTGAGTAGGGGTGGGTTCGGTTCCGTTCGGTTCGGTTTTTTGCAAAAACCGGAAACCGAACCGAAATTACTGTTCGGTTCGATTTTCTATCGGTTTGGGTTCGGTTCGGTTTGTATTCGGTTCGGTTTTCTCGGTTCGGTTTCGGCCAGGTTCGGTTTTTTTTTTTTTTTTTTTTTTTTTTTCTTCTTTCTTTCTTTCTTTCTTTCTTTCTTTATCCCAAATTGTTGTCCATATTGACAACAAGCACTGTTTTACAACATTCATTCTGATGTTAAAGTCTTTAACATCAATTATCAAATCAAAATCAACATGTATAAATAACCAATTACATTTACAATTTCTGAAAGGTTTTCAAAAGTTTTCAAAACCAACAGGCAACTGGCAACTGGCAACAGGTTCTCAAAACCAACAGGCAACTGGAACTGGCAACAGGTTCTACGAGAACTATTTGAATACAAAATACATGCAAAAAGACAGCAGCTGCCAGCTAAAGGAAAACAACAATACAAAGTTATGCCTCTTGATTAGGGAGATCAACAATTTATCTTAGTTTGTAAAGCAAGAAACAGAACAAATCAACTAGTACAACTACCAAAGAGGTGGTATTACAGGAGAATTCAACCTCAGTAAACCTAGGAGCTCGGGTTGCGAGAATATATATAGCCAACAGTACTAAGCAAGTGAAACTAAGTACTACCGAACAGATAAGGCAAGAAGCAGATGGTGGAGATAACCCCATCTAATACTATCAAAGACCAAAGTCTATATTGCAGGTAACAAACTAAATTTTATCCTAATTTTAGCTTTTTACTTCAGCTGAGATTACATATCTCACTAGCTAAATCGGCAAAAGGTGGCCATAATTTGAAAAATGTGTCTATTAAGATTAGTTACAATCCACACGGCAAGGAAAAAGAAAATAAAGATACATCCATCAATATTTGTGTCTGCATTTGTGTCGTGTATGGAGAGAACTAGCTCGGGATCCCAGCAGTTCAGTTCCCACCACAGAAGCTATAATGATGGCAGCACCATCAACAGCTTATAATGTACATCTTTGTTACAGTATCTAATTCAGCCGTCACTTTATACATGCATAAAATCTATTTTAAAGAAAGGGAAGAAAACAACAATAAACAAATTTACCTTTCCATTAGGGAACTCTGCTCTGTAAACACGACCAAGAGATCCTTCACCAATAAGAAATTCTTGACTGAAGCTATTAGTTGCTGATTGGAGAGAGAGGCAACAGTATAAGGAGTAGCAGTGATAGGTGATTTTATCCTTTTTATCGATCCATTTTTACTATGTAACCTATCAACCACCAAAATTTCTGCGGGGGGAGGCATGAGATCAGTTACAGTAGCCGCACTTTTTACCCTCTGCTCTTGCATCTCAGTATTTACTGCAAAATAAAGCAGGGTGCAGCATGTAAATGTTTACGATACTCAGAGTACCATTCAATATTTGTAAGAAATAGCGTTAACCCTTCTGCGTCTATTTGGAAAGAGGAAAATGCTTGTATTTACACTACTAAAAAACAAATCTTGTTTCAAAGAAACCACGTGCCTCTCAAATCATAGTTCCAACATATTAAAAAGCCAAGCTTCAAAAGGAAAAGGGAAAGGAAAAGAAGAGGAAAGCAATTCTACCATTATTTGTGCGAGCAGAGACATTTCCCCCAAAAGCTCTTGGAATCTTGTCCTCCCTTTTATTTTTGCGTATGCAAAAGGCAAGAGCAAGTAAGACAATGAGAGCAATAAAAACAGAACCCAGAATTATCCCTACCAAAGCCCCAACAGCGAGCCCATTTTTTGAAACATGTGATTGGCCATCAGATCCCTGTGGAGGTGTTCTAGAAAAAGGAGCAATAAAAATCAAATGGGTATCCAAAACTAGTGGTATTTGGTAGATCCCATTAAGAACTGAGCTGCAAAGTAAACTTTCTGATGATCGAACTTCCTCCGGTAATATTAAAACCAGTAAATCAGATTACAGAAAAAATGATCACTATTTAACATTACCTCAAATATTGCGATGATAATATATATATAAATCGATTAGAGGGACCAAATCTAACCATATTTTTCTACAAATAAACAAAAATTAGACAAATAAAACTAGCAGAAAATATGAAAAGAATGAAAAAAAGATATAAATCACTAACTTAATCAGCTTAAACCAAAAATTGTGAACTAAAAATTCAAACCAAATTCTAATTAAAAGAATAACATAAACAAAGAACAAAATATAAAACGCGATAGCAGATGCAGTGAGAGAGATAAGATATGAACACTGACCTGCAGGTTCGAGTTTCAGAAGATACTGCGAGAGCTTGGAGAAGACGAAGAAACAGCGTCGCAGAAGGGCTTGCTGAATCGCAAGAGACGAGGGAACGGCGCAGTGCAGAAGGTGGGAAAAGAGGAAATCTGACGGCGAGATGAGAGAGAGAGACTGACACAGTTAAAGGGTTTTGTTAAAACTTAAAAAGATTAAAAAATTAAAAATAACTCACAAATCCTGGAGGCATGAGGGTTCGAACCCATGCCTCCAGCTTGTAAACTTTCACTGAAACCAACTTGGCAACATGCTCTGTTCTGTTATCATTGTATGACTAAACTATTTATAAATATTCAAAAAAATTATATATATATATATATCGGTTCGGTTCGGTTTCCGAGCCTCAAAAACCGAAACCGAACTGGTCAGATTCGGTTCGGTTCGGTTTGACAATTTCGGTTCGGTTTTTTTGCGGTTCGGTTTTTTTCGGCCTCGGTCCGGTTCGGTTGTCGGTTTTTTTCGATTTTCGGTTTTTTGAACCCACCCCTAGCCATGAGCAAGACAATGAAAAACAAAAGGATCTGATGGGGGGAAGGGATTGGAGTGTGATCTCTTTTAAATAAAATATTAATTTATATATTGGGAAGTGGAATGAGGATTTAGATTTTGGAACTTGGATCCACTCCTGAGTTAATGAAGATGATCTTCCTCATCGATCATCTTTGGCCGTTGGATTTTTATTCAATGACTACAAACAGGAGGTCTCTTTAAAATTATAATAATTGTAGCCATTGAATCAAAATCTAACGACCAAGGATGATTGATGAGAAGGATCTTTTCTATTAGCTTAGGAGAGAATCCAAATCCTAGATTTTGTAAAGTCAATGAAATCAAATAATTTAATATTGAAAAAAGACTGGAGCCTCTGATTAATTACATTGGGTGGATGTGAAGTTGATTAATAAGTACTAATTTTTAATTTTTTGAATAAAAAGGCCGGATGGACCCTGGATTATTGTGATCTTTCTAGGTCCCTACGCCTATGAAGTTCGCTTCTCTTTAGTCACCCGTGATTTGAATTAAAAGAAAACTAATAAAAAAGATTTCAAAATTTTAAGTTTTAATGATAAGGACAAAATAAAAAGGTAAAATGAATAGTATCAAAATTGACTTTTTAATGTAAAAATGTGGTTTTTCGTTAAAATGAATAATACTACGGGCTTTTCGTTAAAACTCACTTGAATTAATACTAAAACTTGAGATTAAAGTGTGAAAGACAATCTCACATCAATGGAACATCAAACGTTATAAGATTTATTAAAGAATTGAGCAACTTCATATATTGGTAGGTTTTATGATGAATTTGTAACTTTTTTTTTATGGTATCAGAGTGCAGATTAGCCATGTGTGAAGCCTAACAATCATGTGTTCTTCAAGTCACTCAATTTGTTCCCTATGTACTTGACTTGAATATCCTTCATACATGAGGGGCATGTGAGAATATGAATTACAAAATCCCACATCGGTGATAGAACAAGCCTTACAAGGGCTTATAAAGAGTAGGGTTACTTCCCATATTACCGATAGGTTTTATGATGAAACCTTAACTTCTTCTACCAATGCTCTCTTGATATCAAATTAAAGAATGAGTAATCGTGCATTCCTTAGTCACCTAGTAAAAGAACAATTTTAACGTTTTCCATACCTATTGTACATGAATTAGAGACTCTAGAGTACCTCAAACATTTTAATTTTTTTTTGCTAGTTTAGCCGATGAACAATGTTAAAAAAAATAGGTATCTAGCTTCTTTGAGCTCGTTTAGTTGTGCTTTTAAAATGACTGAAAACTCTTTTGGTGAAAATATTTTTAGACCCAATCTTTAGTAAATATACAAGTAAATTCTAGAAAAGCTCTTAAAGTGCTTCATGTAAGAAGCACATAACTAGTGGTTATTGCATAAAGCACTCTAAGCGTTTTTGAAACCAAAAAACATTTTCTCTAAAATTGCTTTCAATCATTTTAAAAGTACATCTAATGAGCCCTTTAACTTTTCATCTTCAACAACACTCTTTATTTTAACAAACTTTAAATATTTTACGACGAATTATTTCAAAAAGAAAAACACGACCCAGCTAGTGTCTAAAATCACCTTCTCTCTTCTTTTTCTCCTTGGTTCACGGGTCCACCATTGAGTTTTATTAATTTTTTTTAACATTAGCATCTGAACAGTGTTTTTATAAATGTAATGGTTTTTATCACAAATGATCCTTGAAGTTGACCCACCCCATAATGATGGTCCCTAAAATTAAAGATCGATCAATATAATCCTTAAAAATAAGTGTCGCAAAATAATATAATCATTTCGTCACAATTCTGTCAAAATTCTGTTATGTACTAATGCAGCACATAATTGGGTCCCACAAGTCTAATTAAATATTGTGATGTAAATTAAAAATATTTAAATAATAAAAATAATAAGTATTTTTTCATGTATAGTTAAAAACTTAAAAAATGAAAAATAAAAAAAAAGAGGATAAATTTGTCACATCCATCCTAATTTTAATTGTATATAATTTCCAGCACTAAAGAATTACGAAATTACCCTTGACGGACTAAGTGAAAATCCTACGTGGACATTAAGTACTTTATAAACTTTACCTTTTTCTCAACTTTCTAGTTAGTGCGTGTCCTTACAAACATATGAGTGCGAACGAGATGTAAATCAGATGTGCAACGGACAATTTAGGCACCTTTTCTGATAAGGGGGAAAATGGTATTTTCCTACCCTGGGGATTCCACTGCTTGTTTTTTCGAGACAACAATGGACCGTCATTATTATGGGTTGTAGACTAAGGTATTCTGGCTTATTTGTTGGACTTGTTAAAGAAATGGGCAAGTAGGCTGTTCATTTTAGTGTTCTTAATTAGGCCTAGTGCTTAATTAATTATTGTTTGGGCTTGACCCAAAGACGCACACACAAATTCTCGAAGTTCTTGATGATAAGAAAGCGTAAACACAAAAGGAATTGAATTCGGAGTTACAACGGAGATTTTACAAAACTTTAAAGTTCAAAGGCGATATTGTAATTTTCCTTCTGTCAATGCACCTCTCAAACATGGACCACACCACAACAGCCCCTTTGGGTTTTTCCTGAAGCTTTCTTGGCCTTTGTCCCATGCGTCACTAGCCTAACCCCAACAGCCCAGAGCTGCTAGGCCTTTCTTAACCTATGACTAGTCATGCCCGTAGCAATCTATTGCTTGTTGGGCTTCGCCCTAGCCTCGGTCTAACTCGCCAGCATGCTGCTGGGCTTGCACTGCCTCGACCCTAGCCCCAGCTTCGACTAGGCTTTGCGAACGTCAACCCACAAGCCAGCCTTTGGGTAGGCCTACCCCCTCACCCCATTTTGGCCCAAACCAAAGGCTTTTACTACTGGGCTCACCCAGACCACACGGCCCGAAGGCTTGCAACCCTTCTCGAGGCCCAATGGCTTGCAGCCGAGCTGCAGGGCCCATCCCTACATCGATACTAGCCCATATTTGGCCGAGCCGATTTTTTTTCCACCCAATGCCAATTTTTGGCATCCTCGCATTAGAAATCATGCCCAAATATTTTTTTTAGGGTACTTTGGTTTACACTAATTAATTCTAATTTAATTATCACTTGGTTTATCTCCAATTGAAGTTAATATGATCCATCTATCATTACTTTGCTTCCATGATTGACCTTGTTTGGTCCTGATCTATTAAATTAATTAAAAGTGACCTGCAATCCATTAATTAGATAATTAATCCAAAATTATTGACCTGAAAATCACTTTTGCACATTGATGATTCAATAATTTGTTTTTCTACTTTGAACCGTTGACATCCTTTCGTAGTCTCGAAGCTCTCACACTTAAGTTCCCGAAGCAACTCAAATCCATTACACTTCAATCAATATATTGCATTTTGTGTTCCTACCTATCATTTATGTAGTGCCTTTAAAACGCGAAGTTTTCATTCAAAACTTACCACATGAAACCTGAAGCTTTCATGTTTAAATTAAACCAATACATGTCTATAGAACCCGAATGTCCTATGATGTATGTTTATGGATCACCATATGACTAACTACGTTTTGTTGTACCCTCCATTTTAGGGACATGTCGAACTTGAATTAGTTTGATTTCACCACTCTGGAAGTATCTGGAAGAAACTACTTGAAGTGTGTTCAAGACGTAAAGCTCTATCTTATTGCAAAGAGTATTAGAGCCACCATCGAGGCATCTTCCAACACCAATGTAAGATCCCACATCACCCAGGGGAGTGATCCTTATATATATTCTCATCCCTACCTAGCACGAGGCCTTTTGGAAGCTCACTAACTTCGGATTCCATGGGAACTCCGAAGTTGAGCGAGTAGTGCGCGAAAGCACTCCCATGATGGGTGACCCATTGGGAAGCTCTGGTGCGAGTTCCCAAAAACAAAACCGTGAGGGTGTGCTGGGGCCCAAAGCGGACAATATCGTGCTACTGTGGAATCGGGCCTGGGAAGTGGTCCTGCCCGGGCCGAGATGTGACAATTTGGTATCAGAGCTTAACCTTGGTCGTGGTGTGCCGACGAAGACATTAGGCCCCTAAGGGGGTGGATTGTAAGATTCCACATCGCTCAGGGGAGTGATCCTTATATATATATATATATATATACCAAATGGGGTGGAACTAATGGTAGGAGGCATAGCCTTCTATATTGTAGGAGGCAAAGCCTTCCATAGAATTCAGAGTGCGGAAGTAAAATACATATAAACATTGAAGTAATTCGAGATAATGAATGACAAAAAATTGAGGTTGATTGAAGCGGAATATCCATGTATGATCAATTATAACATGAATGCAAACAATTAGACTAAACATAGGTGTTATATTCATATTGAAAATGTATTAAAATTAGTGATGCAGATAGATTTTGAAAATAAGTTTATTAAAATTACTGCAATGCAGATTACAAACTGATTTTTGCCTAATGGCAGATAATGAACAACAAAAGACTGGAGCTCGCAGACATCCTGGATAATATATATGTATTTCAAGTGTTTAAAATATATATATGTATTTCAAGTGTTTAAAATCTCTGTCCTTTGTGGATGAGCAGAGATATATATTGTTGAACTGAATTCTT